TTTCAGTGCCATTGTAACTTCAAACAGTCACTAAGCGAACTGTTGTAAGTTGAGGACTACCTGTACTTTATCACTTTTTCCCTTTTTTTTTTTTTGGTCATCAAGTTTTTGACACCTTGCTAGGCGACTGGTGGTACTCGGATATTGCCATATCCTAAAAGTGGTACAATGGCTGAAAAGGTTGAAAAGCTCTGCACTAGAAGATGCAAACTTCTGTCAAAGCAAACTATATTTTGCTTATGTGTCTTCTTTCAGATAAGAATCTTCCTGCTTGCTTTTTAGAAGACTAAAATTACCGGGCTTCAATAAGATAAACATTTTCTTGCATTTTTAAAATTGTAAAATGCAATATGCTAAGATATCACCTTGTAATCAATTTGAAGTAATTTAACCAGTTATAATATGCCCATTATACAAAGTTAAAGAAACATCTCCATATCTATAAGGTGAACTACAGATAATCCTTATTTAATAACAGTAATTGAGAATGCAATTTCCATTGCTAAGCAAAAAGGGTTGTTAAAGTTCACGTCATGTCACTGCACCAGTTAGTGACAAAAACGTGGGCAGTTCCATCCTTCTGCAAATCCCACAATTCTAGTGCAATGTCACATTGTCGCCATTTGCAATCTCCTGCCAGCTTCGTCATTGCCTTTGCTTGTAGAAATCCAGCAAAGAAGGTCACAAATGGCAATCACATAACTGTGGGACACTGTGATGTTGTAATAGCAAGCCAGTTCCCAAGTATCTGGATCATGATCATGTTACTGCAGGGTTACAACATCTGTTTTAAAACTCTTAAACTTTTCTTTAAAAATAATTCTAAAATCAACAGATCTAGTACATCTTTTTTTCAAATTCCTCTTCAGATACATGCTTTAAAGTTCACTTTCAATAATATTTTACAAGCTTCAGGAATTACTCAAGCACTCCATATGAAGAAAAAAGAAAAGCCCCATTTCCAAATCCATTTTATAGATAGAAAACTACATTACTGCTTTCTTTCAATTAATACACCAGACAAATGAAAATCCAACTAACTCCAATTAGCCCATTAAATTTAAGTCACTCCCTCCAGTTAATCCTCATAGAATAAAGTCAGATGGATTTCCAACTTTCAACACTCTGCTCCCATTTTGTGCTCCTCAGTCTCTGTTGCTCAAGATGGTTGCTTCATACTGGCATTCCTCCACTTATGATCAATCACTTATTAACCAAAGTTGCAACCAACCCAAAAAAAGGTACTTAGGACCTAGATTCAAATTTCCAACAGCTGCCTCTCCCCTCAGTCACATAATCACATGTAGGTAGTCCTTGACTTACAACCAGTGGTTTTTTTTGTAAAAAAAAAAAAAAAAGGTGCCGGAACTCACTTCTGTCATACAACCTGCCTTGCCTACCCTATGAGGTTCCATCCAAAAAAGATGCCGGAACTCCGTTCTGGGCGTTCTATGAGAAAAAAGCCCTGCTTACAACAGTTTGTTTGGTGACTGAAGTTACAACAGCACTGAAAAACTGACTTATGACTGTTTTTCACATTTACAACTTGCAGCATCCTCATGGTCATTGGGAGCTAGATTCACTTAACAACCGTGTTACTAGCACTGATTCATTTAACAACTGTGACAGTAAAAGTTGTATAATGGGGCACAATTCACTTAACAACTGTCTCGCTTAGCATCAAGAATTTTGGGCTCAATTTGGTCGTAAGTTGAGAACTACCGGCATTGGATTGGCAAACAGCACATATTTATGTCTGTCTGCAGAGTCCCATGTCATGTCACCACAATTTGTGACATTTTTCAACAGAAACAGCATTTCCTTTCAGTTTTTGGCAAAAAAAACTCCTTTGCAGAAAACGGGTTTGCTTAACAACCATGGTGATTCAGTTAAATTCTTCTATTATTATTGTCAGTGCTTTTTTTCTTAAAAAAAAAAAAAGGTGCCAGAACTCACACACGTCATACAACCCGCCTTGCCTACCCTACAAGGTTCCATCCCAAAAAGGTGCCGGAACTCCGTTGTGGGCGTTCTATGAGAAAAAAAACCCCTGATTATTGTACTAACTCAGTGGTTCTCAACCTTTTTAATGCCACGGCCCCCAACCGATTGTAAGTCGAGGACTACTCAACCGGTCGTAAGTCGAGGACTACTCAACTGGTGCAGCACTGTTTGCAGAATGGGACTTTTGGCGGGCTCAGCAGGGCAGAGACAACCTGGACAATTCCTATTGGCTTTTGAAAGACAATAGAATTAGACTCTATTCAAGAGAGTCTATTCTATTGGCTTTCAAAAGCCAATAGAATAAAAGGGAGTAGCACAGCTAAGGAAAAGGGGAAAAAAATGGCGGACTGCGTTGTTTGGCGACCCCCATGAAATGGTCGTTCGACTCCAAATGGGGTCCCGACCCACAGGTTGAGAACCACTGTACTAACTACTGCATCTTCCAAGAAGAAACAGCCCTATTAAAACAATAAGCAAAAAGTGTTCTCCCATAAATACGAGTTCCTAAAGAATGGAAATCCAAAATACCTACTAGCTGCATGGAGGGAGGGACACTGGTGGGATTCAGCCGGTTTGAACCACTTCAGCAGAACCGGTAGCTATTTTTTTGCTGCTCAAGCTCAGAATGGACTTCCAGAAGCAGCATCCATGTAGAGAACTGGTTGTTCACATATTTGAATCCCACCACTGAGGGAGGGAGGTTAGATATAGGAACTAACAGCATTTTGACTTTTAAAGATGGGCTTTTCTATGTTCCAAACCCCACTCTGTCAGTGATGACAACAACTGATCTTCTACTGATGCATTTGTATTCCATGGCAGTTGAAAAACAGCTAAGAGACTCAGAAAAAGCAGCTATTACATGAGGTCTAGCTATGGTGGAGGATGCAAGACCTATCCCAAAGATGCTTTTTCATGAGGCAACTGGACTTCCTTGCTTTTCTTTCAAGATGTTTCGCTTCTCGTCCAAACGAAGACCTAACTGAAAAGACTCAGAAAAAACAGTAGAGAAGTGGGATCTAGAGATGATGGAAAATGTAGGATCTGATGTCTTGTGCTGTACTTGTATTAGGTGCTTGGTAAGTATTGTAATAGAGAATTAAGATGTTTTAAATTCATTCCTGAATATTTCTATGTGGGTCAAGCCTCTCTAGAAAGTTTGATAGCAGCTGCTTCCAAATATTATTGAGACTGCACTTTGGCGGCATTTTTCAATCAGGAGCCAAATAAAATACTTAGTAAAAATGGATGAGGATATCTAATATGATATGATGATTATTAGATTTATGTCCCTCCTTTAACTTATCCAACTCAACGCAGTACACATAATGTTCCTGTCTCCTATTTTCCCCAGAACAATTGTCCTGTGAGATAGATTGATCTAAAAAAGTGTTTCCCAAACTTGACAATTTTAAGGCATCAGGACTTCAACTCCCAGAATTCTGTGGAATTCTGGGAGTTGAAGTCCACATGCCTGAAAATTGTCAAGTTTGGGAAACACTGATCTAAAAGACTGAGCAGCTCCAACCCATGTTCCTGCCTAAGGGAGGATAGAACTCAAGCTCTCCTAGTTTGTAGTCCACCGTCTTAATCATTGGCCCAAACTGACTATTAATTAATACATATTTTAGTTACTATCAATACTGATAATTTTCCTGATAGGAAAAAAAATTATGTGGAATATTGTCAGACACAGCACTCTTATCATTGGGAAAAAATGCTACATTTTCCTTTTTACTAGTTCTAATGGGGAATAAATAATACCACCTCCACATTTACCATTGTTTGGGCCCAATTTTGTGGATGTGCTGGAAGAAAGGGAAACTTTGCATCTTACAAATCCATAGCTGCTCCCAACATATCTCTTTTATATTTGTTTTTGCCCCCATTAGTACCACTAGTGGAGCATCAATTCTGAAAACATTTTTCCATAGATGTTACCCAGTAATGGGTCTTCTTGTCTGCCAAAAGAATGGTACTTATGGCCAATTTCTGGCAAATATATAATTGTTCTTTAATTATCATAAAAAGACTCTTCTTCTAGAATCATTAAAATAACACTTTAAATATGTTTATCAAGGTTATTTTTTATATTTAAAGTGGTTTCTTTTTTTTTGCACAGATTAAGGTAAAACTTGCTTCATATGTAGATTTCTTGTTGAATTAACTAGACTGCGATGAGCAAAAAAGGTTATATTAATTCAGAATTGGGACACACAATCCCATGTTTCTTACTTGGTTTTATAAACAATTGTAATTTAACCTGAACTTGAAAATAACATAAAGAACCCATTCTTTATTAAGAGAAAAAGTATTTATCCATTGTCAGATTCTTTTCTCTTTGTTAGCTTTATAGTAAATTACACTGTAGAATTTATAATGGTTTGTAAGTTTGTTAAGAGATAATTCCATCTTTAAAAATAGAGCTATTAAATTTTATTTTAGGAAAATCTCCAGACATACATCCACATATCCACTTTATTTAGGAGCCGTGGTAGCACAGTGGTTAGAATGCAGTACTGCAGGCTACTTCTGCTGCCTGCTGGCTGCCTGCAATCTGGCAGTTTGATTCTCACCTGCTCAAGGTTGACTCAGCCTTCCATCCTTCTGAGGTCAGTAAAAGGAGGACTCGGATTGTTGGGGGCCATATGTTGACTCTGTAAACTGCTTAGAGAAGCCTGTAAAGCACTGTGTATATAAGTCTAAGCGCTATTGCTATTATTATAGATTAATAAATCAGATCTTATTGGTATCACTGTATGTGTTCCACACACATTTAGAACTACAGCTTCATCTTCCAAAAATATACTCTCAACTGCACACATCAAATGAAGACAAGGACATATATAACTACTTCCCAAAACATGTTTTCAATTTATTCATTATTAATTAAAATGATAGAAATGTTTATTGGCCATCTATACCTTATTTTTTATTATAGCAAAACTGCATAGAATACACCTCCCCCTGCCCCAGCTTCTTTATGGATCCACAACCCCTGCAGAAATTATTGTGAGGCTTCAGTCATGATACTGTGGCTGCCATCTTGACTTTTTGACTCCTTCACTGATTATGGATGAGTCTTTGTGCAAAAGAGATTTTGATTCGAATATAGGTATCCCAATACTTAAAACATTAGCAAAACACAACTGAATGTTTATTTAACAATTTACTCTAAAATCATAAGGATAATTATTAATAATACTATAGATAACTAGCATTGTAAGGAACAATTAATTTTCCGGGTTGGATTATAAATCTTTCTTTTTCTTTTTTTTTTCCAAAACTCTGCTTCAAGAATTCACAACCTTTCTTATATCCACAATGGAAAGCAATCCCAGGGTTTATTTAAGCACTGCTCAAACTTTAAACATAAGAGTAGATAAATGAAATCAATAGTATTTAAGCCTCACAGAACACAATAGATCTATTTTATAGACTATTTTAGACTATGTCTGAATTCAATACTGTCCTCTCAACACAGTTTAGTAATAATGAGAGAATGGCTATTTTCTTTTTCTTTTCTTTTTTAAAGAAATTCATAATGTGAGTTATTTCATGTTCCACAAAACCTTCCATCCCAATCATATGCTGCTGACCTGTCATTTTTATTTGCTGTTGCTTGATCCCATGATACCCATGGTTGTTGTGTTGTTCACTATGCAAGGATCAGATAACAGATGTTGGCACTTTTTACATGATCTGATTTTCTCATCCAATTACTTCCTTCAAAAATTATCAGATTAATACCAGATTAGACTCCAGGTTTGGGTCTACCTGTGCCATGTTTAAGTGCGAGAAGCCTCACTTAAGAGACAGCGATGGAGGCACAGATTAAATAGAAAAGAACACTTGCGCTAAACCCAATCCACGATTCCTAGAAGAGTAGGCACGTTAGAGCAGTCAGATGCATCCCTCAAGGCCAGGATGGGAGGGAGGGAGAGGTTGTTCAGCTCAAAGCTGAAGGTCAGATGCTCCACAAAGTCTCCTCCCTCTTCAGCCCCCCGCCCCCTCCTTTTCTGATGGAATTCAGAGATGAAGTCCATTCGTGGGAGTGATGGGAGCGGAGTGACTTCTCATCTTCTTGAACCTGGGCACAAATCGAAGGACGACCTCGAGGGTGGGAAATAGGGAGACCCAGACAGCGCTACCTCGGCTAAAGGTGCTGGGATATTAGCCGTTCCCTCGCCTGCTTCCTCGCCCGGCTCTTCCTTGATTCCTAGGTTTGATGCTGCAAGGCGTGTCCGGGGCTCTGCTCATGTGATAGAGCAGGAGGGAGAGGCGGGCGGGGGACCAGGGAGGAGGTAGTTTTGTTGGCTTTTTTTTTTTTTAAAGGAGTTTGCAGAAACCTCCTGGGTTGCTTCAGTCGCAGCCTGACGGCTTTCCCGAGCAGCTGAAGTTAAGGAGCCGAAGAGCGCAGCTGCCTGGACAGCTCTATTATTGCTATCGCTTATTTCTTTTTTGGTTGAAAAGCGTCGCTTCCCGCGCCCCCCCCCCCCACGATCCCGAGGTGTTGGAGAAACGGACGCCGGAGAGAGAGCATGGGAGCGGGGAGCTCTACGGAACCGCAGAGCCCGCAGGATGAGACCACTGCAGCAGGAGATTCCCAGCCCGAGAGTCTGGGAGGGCGGACGCCAACGGAAGGAGTGGCCGAGGCTGAGGAGCCGGAGGATCCCTCCAAGGTACCAGAGTCTCCGTCCCACGGCGCGCGTCTGGAAGAGGCTGCCCGTTTGGCGAGGGCGTCGCTCTTTCTGGAGGACGTTTCGCTTCGCATCTTGGCGCGCAAACTTTCTGGGGGAGTCCCGAGCACCTGTCGGGGAGCGCGCGGGCACCTGCCTCCCTTCGCCACCCCGCCCTCCGTGGGGGGAGGGGGCGAAGTTTGGCGGGGTGGGGCGTGGCGGCGGCGGCGGCGGCTACTTGGCTCTCCTGAGGCAGGGCACTGCGTAGCCGGCGCCTCCGCAGTAATAAACTCTTCCCTACCTTTTGTCTGTCAAAAGAAGCTCTGCCCCTCCCCTCCCGCCGCTAAGGCTGAGGAGAAGGAGACGGGGCGCTTTAGTCGGCCCTCTCGGGAGGCGCGGCCTTCCGGCGCCTCCCGGTCTCACCTCATGCCTCGTTCCCTAGGCGTGATGAAGGGCGTCCTGGTCCTGCGCTGTCTGGGTTCTTTCGCACCTTCCTCTCCTGCGTTGCCCCGCTTGCACCCCCGGGAGAAGGAAGAAGGGCAACCACCCCTTTCCGTCGCTTTTGCGGATAATGTACAGACGGGGGTGGCGTGTGTGGAAAGACCCCACCCTGTGGCCGGACGGTGGCGGGGGTGGGGAAGGTTGCTGCGTGCCAAGATCTTCCTGACTGCAGTCCTGCAGTCAGCCTGTGGTGCCTTCGCCTCGGGCTTCTGCAGTTGCAGCCTCTTTGGAAGATGCTAGCGGGAGTGGTGCCAAAACCGAGAGGGGCGAAACAAAGCAAACTTGTGCCTTTGAGCACCGCGTTGATGTATCCTCTCACGCTGTATTGCTAAGTGCCTTTTCCCTTTCTCGCCCCAGTATCGCCTTGCCGCACGTGCGCGGAATAGGCGGCTGGCTAGGCGTTCTGCCGCGCTGGGCTGTCCAGGGCTGTGCTGCGTACCTTTTGTTTGCATTAGCAAATAAATGCCTGCAGTTTCTCTTACTATGGACGTTCCCAGAACATCCGAGCTCTGCCGGAAGCAATATAATAACTGGAGGGAACGAACGTTTTTCTCAGGGAGCTTTTGCGGTACAGTCTAATGGTTTGGACAGTTTTGAATTATATATATATATATATATATATATATAAAATGCAGTTCTGAAATCTATACGTATATGTAGGTATATATATGTTCAATGATGCAATCTTCGATCTCCGGGAAGAGTATACTCCAGTCCTCTACCAGCGAAAGCTAAGTTGTTTTAATCTTGTATATAACTGTTTTTATTGTTTTAAATGTTGTTTTAACAATAAATAACTGGAGTATACTCTTCCCGGAGATCGAAGATTGCATCATTGAACAAATATGCCCGGGATTCGTATTTTTACAACCATTAAGTATATATATGTATATATATATATATATGTGTGTGTGTGTGTATATGTATATATATGTATGCATATATATGTATCCGTATATATGCATGCATATATATATATACACACACACACATACACACACTGTTTAAAGAAGTGTCTTTTATAGTTTTGGAAAACAAAACAACAAAAAACCTTACTGCATATTTTTTAAGAAAAAGAAATTACTTCTTGCATTGTACTTTCCCAGGATATAGATTTTTATGTGTCAAACTCGCAACATCACCTGACATGTTGCAACATATTACGACTCTTTGCATTGCTGGCAATGGGGTGGGTGCGGCTTTGGTATGATGATGACACCCCTGTTTTAGGTTCTTTAAAAGAATTAAAACAAAGCACATGTTGAACTATAGATGAAATTCTCCAAACTTGCTCTTTGCCTAATCTAATGTGTGGGTGTGTCTTGGGTTTTAACTCTAACCATTTTTCCATAGGTAGTCCTTCAATGCATACGGTTGACAGAAGTTTTAAAAAGTATTTCTCTGTGGGAATATGTATTTTTTTCATAATGAAATGGAACAAAGTATTTAATAAGTTGAAACTAAGTTTTCTAATGTTGATTTACCAAATAAGCCAGCAGGGGAAAAAAAAGAGCAGTTAAGTAAATGTTTTCTGTGGCTGATGGTGAAAGAGATGATTTAGTTGCAAAAACATGACAACTGAAATGATTAAATGTATCAGAAGTATATGTCCCACATGATAAAAGAACATTGGCTTGAAGCTTGGGAAAGAAAACAAACTGCTGAGGTCAAACCAGCCCCTTCACATACTGTGTGAAAAGTATAAAATTATTTACTGTGTTTCAATTTCCCTCGAATTTTAATTCCAGGAAGTATCTGAAGTTTGTATCAATGTGGATTCATAATGTCAAGGCAAAAAAAAAGCTATGCAGTTAGCTCATCCTCTGTGAGAAAAGGAATTAGTCATAATTTAAGTTGAAAATTAAATTATTTTAGGCAACACTCGTATTCAAATGTTGCAGTTAGTTGGATGAAAGCCTAAATCTTACAAAACGGCTAACTTTCAAGTTTGAAGTAACCATTCCATCGTGCTTTTCCACTGTCCTTGGAAAACATTCCCTCAGACAAAGCAAAACATGTCCATGCCAAATCTATTAGGTACCTATTTTTCCAAACAGGGCATGTATGTTTCTCTATATAAACCTGAAAATTGTGTTTGAGTTTTCAAAGGGGAAATTCTTGGTTATCTGCTTAATTTCCTACCCTACCACCCATTTCTCTTACTTTGAATCCTGAAAAACAAAAGTCCATCTTCTTTAGCCAATTTGTTTTGAATGCCTTGCTGGTCATAACACACAGGTAGTCATTGACTTATGACCACAATTGAGCCCAAGATTTCTGTTGTTAAATGAGACATTTGTTAAGTGAGTTTTGCCTCCATTTTACAACCTTTCTTGCCAGTGAATTTGGTTTCCCCGTTGACTTTGCTTGTCAGAAGGTTGCAAAAGGTGATCACGTGACCCCAGGACGCTGCCACGGTCATATAGATGAGTCAGTTGCCAAGAATCCAAATTTTGATCACGTGACTGTGGGGATCCTGCAATGGTCGTAAGTGTGAAAAATGGTCATAAGTCACTCAGTGCCAATGTAACTTTGAATGGTCGCTAAATGAACCGTTGTGAGTTGAGTGCTTGTAGTTACTTTTGATAGAAACGACCATTGAGAATTGGAAGTTGTCAACCTTTGACTGAATGAGAAAGTGCAGCCAAGTATACCTATCATTTCACTTATGTGGGAGAAAATAAAGGCACACTTTCAGAGACTTTTTTTTGCTTCATCTCCAGTCTGTATGATCTTCAGTGGGAAACAGATTGTCTTGTGTGTCTCAATTTGCATCCTGCTTACTTGGTCCAGTGAACTCAATGAGAGTCAGCTATACCAGAGGTCCCCAGCCTTTTGGGCACCAGGGATCAGTTCCATGGAGAGAGGTTTTTCCGTGGACTGGAGGGGGTGTGGTTTTGTGTGCTGCCTGCATCCCGCACATGGGGGTTTGCTTGTTTGTGCGGACAGGTTGCTGGCATGCTACGGACTGGTATTGGTCCACGGACCGGGGGTTGGGGACCACTGAGCTATACAGTCTACTCTGCCTAGATACAGGGGTTGGCTCTTTTATGATGCGTGGACTTCAACTCCCAGAATTCCTGAGCCAACATGGTTGCCTACCCCTGGCCTAGAATATGATAGAAAGTTAAGAAAGAGGAATTAGTATCTTAATACTGAGGATAGGTTATATACATTTGCAGGCAAGCAGAGTGTCATATCATCAGCAAGTTTATCCCTAATACTTAATCCTAAAAAAACGTACTAAAAGGTGTAGGTATTTTTGAACTTTCTTGATATTAGATTCTATCACTAGTTCTGAAAGAAATGGTTCTGACTATCATACCAAACACAATGTTTTTTTAGTATTTTCTGCTTGGATGTAGTATGGAAGTATATAATAAGGATACATAAGCTGATATTATAAAAGTGTTCCTTGTACCTATTTACAGTGGCTCATCTCTCAAAGCAAAGGATCACACAATTGTCTGATGGGCTAATTATTATAGAACATTCTGCTGTAGAATAATGTATCACTTTGGTTCTGCCTACAGAATCACTAACATATGGCGGCATATAGGTAGTCCTCGATTTTCAACAGTTTATTTAGTGACTGTTCAAAGTTAATGGCACTGAAAAAAGTGACTTATGACCAGTTTTCACACTTAACAACTATTGCAGCATCCTCATGGTCACAGCTTGGCAACCGGTTCATATTTATGACGGCTGCAGTGTCCTGGGTCTTATGATCAGCTTTTATGACCTTCTGACAAGCAAAATCAATGGGAAATCCAGATTCACTTAACAACCATGTTACTAACTTAACAAATGCAATGATTCACTTAACAACTGTTAAGTGGCAAGAAAAGTCATAAAATGGGGCAAACTCCACTTAACAAATACTGTATTTCACTTAGCAAAATAAATTTTGGGCTCAGTTGTGGTTGTTACTTAAAGTTTACCTCTATCTCATATTTTGCAAATCATATTCCATCTTTAAGTGGCTTATTGGGATAGTATTTGTTACACAATTTGTATCAAGTGATCTTAAATATGCAAGATGTGAAATGGCCATATCATTTTCCACAGATAATTTTTAACTTCTAGAAAACTGTAAAAGGATGTTGTTTGAATGAAATTGGACAGTGGATTAGAGGCTTATCTGAAAAAATATATTTTGTCTTCTGTGTTTTAATTCACTTATGTTCAATTATGCAGCTGTTTATATTTCTGTCTTGTGTATTCTGTTGCAACAGCACTAGCTTTATCCATTCCTTTTTCCAGCCTTTTTCCAAAATTCCATATTGTGCTTGTAAAAGTATTAGTATTGTCTTTATTTAATAATTAATTCATCATTTTTCCAGATATTTCCATCACTTGTAAACTAGGAAAGTTTTGTGAAGTCATGTTGTTTTTGTTTACAGAACAAGGTTTTAATACACAATTACCTTTCAAATATATATCTTTTTTTCTCTTAAAGAAAATGGTAATATCACATTAAGGGTTGTTGATTCTACTGAAGT